CCTAAACAGGAATGTGCTCCGGACCTCCCACTAAAACAGCGGCAGCTACGGACAAGCAGTATATAGTCAGCTCCCTAGCAGACGGACCCTTAGAGTTTCTTCTCTTTGGATCCTCCCCTGCTAGGTCAGCTTCATTTGTATTTGCTTACCAATGTTCACGCTTTGGATCCTCCCCTGCTAGGATCTTGATCTCAGGCCTCCGGGGTTGCCCTTACATTCCCACCAGCTTTTGGCTGAACCCCCCCAGTTCCGGTGAGCGAGCTGGGCCATCTGGACTTGCATCAGGGGGCCGAGATGGGCCATTTCCTTCATTTCAACCAGATAGCGTATGAGCGAGTCGTGGCTTCCATCCCATTTAGGCAAGTCAGACGCGTTGATTTTCGCATTTAGTTGAAAGGGTTGCGGCTGTCCGCTTGGGCCCGGGGGCCCCCGCATTGCCCACATTTGGTGGAGGAGGCGGTGGCGGCGGCCCGGCGGGTTGACGAGCCGGTCCCCAAGGTTGGCCCGGACCGGGCGGCCCAGGTGGTCCAGGCGGCCCGGGCGGCCCCCCCCCGGGGAACCAACCGGGGGGGCCTGGCAGTCCTCCATAAGGTGGACCGGGCGGGCCTCGTGGCGGTCCAGGGGGCCCGCCGTAAGGAAATCCTCCTGGGGGGCCTCTTGGGGGACCCGGCGGCGGCCGCCTATCGCCTTCATTAGAGGAATTGTCAGACGGTACGTCTCCTGGGAATCCAGGAGTCGCCGTTGCTTGTCTCTGATATGCGTTTGCAGGGGCTTGGCCGATCTGACTATTGACCCAGCCCTGGCTATTCGCTGTCTGCCCTCTTGCGGGGGTGTGAGGAACGTAGGGAGGTCGTCCCGATGTTCCTACGGTGGGAACCGAATTTGGCTGCATCACCGATGGCTCCCCAAAGGACGCTGGTCCACCCATTAAGTTGCTCAAGCCAGATCGGGCTGTTGACGAGGGTCCCGGGATTGGTCGATGTGACAGATGCGGAATTGGGCCTTGAGCAAATCGCACCGAAGGAGCACGCTGAGAAGTCGGTTGGAAGAATGGAGGCGGAGGAGCCATGATCGGCAGTAGAGGATGCGACGGTACTCGCATTCTGCGGTAAGGGTTGCCATATCCGTCGTCACTAGTTTCGAAAGACGACTTGGCTTTCCCCCAAGCGGCTGCGTTGTACTGTTCGAGATACGGCTGGTAATCCAGACGTGCCCAGTACATTTGCATTGATAGATCGACGTCTGCTGCCTCATGAAGCCGACGGACTTCGGATCGCATCGAAGCGACTGAGCTGACTTCATTGGCGTCCCTGGGGTTCTTCAGTCAAAGAAGAGTGTGCACAATACGGTTGTTGGCGGCCGCTATGCGCAGTTGCATGGTGCCTAGAGCCATAAGGACGCGATCGGCATCCTCCGTTCTCAATAGAACTGACAGGATCTGGTAGCCGTAGTCCGCTTGAAAGGGGGTACTTCGTTCGGAGTCGACCAGATCTTCCAAACCTTGAAGGATTTGCCTCAGTGCCACGGTAACGTGTGCGACGAGTGCAAATAGCTTGGCCTCCAGGCGCAAGTGACGGGAGCTCGAGCCAGTGATAACTGGGGCGACAATAGCTGGAGATCCAGCTATACTGCCGACTTGGTTCACGGCCGAGTTAACGTTTTCCCAGAAGATACTTTGGTTCGGCGAGTAGTAGCGACGCAGAAATAAGTCGGATTAGACGGACTTTGTGAATAGTCGTAGCCATGAGTGATGAGCGGGTCGTAATCGCGGGTCTCATTGAAGGCACCGTGGTGGTGTCGAACAGCTTCACCAAGGTTTTCCTCGTAGAGGCCCAAGACTTCGCCCAGGTAGTCGATAACGACTTGCTCGGCCGTTGGATTCGAGATTGTCGAAGAGGGTCGAGACAAAGAAGCCGTTACCGATTCGCCCTCCCAATGTGGAGGCGGAGGGCGATTCTCAAATCTGGATTCCAGATTCGAGGGTTCAGAACCAGGTCTCGAGTTGGAAGACAGGGAGGACGGGTCTGAAGTTTTGAAGGACAAGTCGTCGAATGATTCTGATGAGATGTAGCCGTTGTTTTCGGGTCGAATCGTGGAAGCAGAAGCGCCGCTAGCTGCTCTGCGACGCCCCTCCTCCCGCGGACTCGGGGGTTCGGGTGAAGCGCCTGGTCCAGAGAAATCCGGGGGTGGTACTCGCGATTCGGGAGCCGAAGACAGCTCTTCAGCCATAGGCCGTAGGGGATTCTTTACTCGGGTCGCGGCTGGAGTGATAAATGACACCTCCGAGAAGGGCGATTCCGAGTAGATGCTGGCCAAAGCTGGATTATCCCGAAGCAATTCGGAAGCTCCGCCACCTGAGGCGGCAGGTGACGGAGGATCCAAAGAGAAGAAACTCTAAGGGTCCGCCTGCTAGGTAGCTGACTATATACTGCTTGTCTGTAGCTGCCGCTGTCGGGCACAGAAGGCTTGGGCGGTGTCGCAGGCAAGGTCCCAGGGCGACCGTCGGGAGGGCATTGACGGATCGGTGATTGTGCGGGCGAGATGGAGGGCCGAACCGGAGTTGGAACCGGAGTTGGACCGGAGTCGGACGTGTCTCCGAGGGGCCGAAAGGGGGCTTCCCCTGACAGACTATGGGTTGGGCCGTGCAAGGGCCTCTCCTAAGAACGCGCGCCCAAAACAGAACAGACAGATAGTTGGGCCCGCAAGTATGGTGAGCGGGGTAGATCAAAACCGAAAGGGCCCATGAACTCGGTCCCTTGTCGCTGTCGGTGGTCGAAGGTTCGAATCGGGTCGTGTTGGTAGTTCTCTAGACGATCTAAGTGATAGAGTACATGGTATACTATTGCGCCTTATATACGCGGGCCCGCAAAGGGAGTGATCGGACACCCTGGCCTCTCCTGCTCCTTCTTGCCCCTGTTCCTGGCCGCAGAGGGGATGATCGTACATTCCTTGCGGGCCAGGTGCTACTCCTAGCCTCCTAGCACTCCTCCCCAGTCCCCTGGTGTCGAGTTGGGCTCGGCGACGGCTCGACACGTCGTTCTCGGTCATGTGCTTCCCACGTGTGCGTTCCTCCTACTGGGGCGCATGTTCCCCGTTGTCACATGCTGCATGCTACGGGCCCGCGATGGCCCGACACCAGCACCGGAGCGGACGGGCCGGGTCTTATCCGTGACACTTTACCTAAAAATTTGCACAATTATCTTGTCTACATATATTTTAATCTAACTCTACTCTCTCTCACATTTGACCAGGCTTCCCAGAAAAGTTCCACAAAATCTTGCCTAACCCAGATTTGTGGAAGGTTATGATTGAAGTGCCAGAGCTAGTGTATGATTAGTAGATTTCACCTCCATATTGAACCTAGAAGCAACTATTTCTTCTTCTTCTTCTCTGCAACTATACTCTTCCAAAAAAAGGCAATCACCAATAAATGCCACAAAAATCTAAGAATATAAATTTTTTTAAGCTAGAAACATTCTATACTGGTAGCAGGGATAATAATGTATTGTTCTGGTTCATTGCAGCAAAATCCATCAAGAAATGCAGTATCAATATCAGTCTATAAATGATGATATTGTAGAGATGAATTTTATATTGCTGGTTGTTTAAAAAAGATCTGAAATACTTTTAGAGGTAGTGTTGATAATTATACATAATTATGTCATCCATTTATTGCCAAACCCTAGTATTACTGGTATAGAGAACGCTCCTGTGCATGATTCTTGATTGTTAGGGGCAGCATACATATCCATGTTGATATAAAGTTAATCATGTCTTTTACTTGGAATAAATCATCAATGTACAGTGCGCGCGTGACCACTTGTCTGACAGGTCCCGGTAACGCCAGGGAAATTTTTTCAAGATTTTAGACATTTTTTTTCAAGATCAGCTCCCCAAAAAACGTCGATTTATCACTTCAGACCCAATTTTCCCACGGTGTATCACTTTTTGGCCAGATTTCACCATTTCCGGACACTGGTCCGGTGGCTCCCCGGCCTACTGCCAGACCTAGAAACTGTATTTTTGGTAGCTGAGGACAGAGAAGCACTGAGAACCAGGACCTTAGCAGATTTGCACACTTCAGCTAGTTAGAATATACCTACTGAAGGCTTTGAGACGGCTTAGACAGATTTGGACAGCTATGATTTTGGGAGTGGCAGGTTACATATTATGACAAAATCATGATATATAGTGATGCTATCACACCCATCAACGTCTATCTGCCATATTCGAGTGATCTACATCAATGCCGAGTGATGCCGACATGATTTTCCCACAGGTATCACTTTTCTGGGGTCACTATTTTGAAAACCTTCACCAATTCCTTAGATATTTTAACTCAAGGTACCTCTACCCTGTAGCTTTCATTTCCTGCAATCTTAGAATACTATGGTCATTACAAAAAATGAACGGTGGTCATCTTTTTTTGGTTGACATCTACACTGATCCGGCATTCGAGAGGTGGTCACACGCACTGTATGTGACAGTGTTACACTGTTTTGAAACACTGATTATATAATCAATACAAATTCCGGTGCTGGAAACAGCTGTAGTATAGCCATAGATAGTTCAGACATTGGGTTTCTGCGGGGATTGTGTTCTGCGCTTAGCAGAATTGTTGAGAGGGATGGGTAAATGTGCTGCGGGCGCGCATTTGGGCGGGAGATGGAGGGCGGAAGAGCAGTTGGTAAGCAACACGTGCCCGCGGGCCGGTCGTTTGCTTCTTTTTCCCTCGCTCCACAGCCTTCTCTCACCCGTCGTCATTAACGCTGCTGCCATGCTGCACGCCTACGCGCCGGTGGGGCCTCATCGAGCAGAGCCTGGTGAGTCGCCGCTGCTCTCACGCTTTGGCTTGCGGCCTCTGGAGATGTGTTGTCGCGGTGGAGGACAAAGGTGAGTCAGCATCTTGATCCTCTCGTTGTCTTGCTAACCAGTTGTGCGGGGCCTGCAGCCACATAAATTCGCTCGAGCATCTTGGCACCAACACCTGCCATCCTGGAATGTGTCTATTCACGGGCGGGACAGCAAGCTACAGGGATGGCAACAGCAACAAGACAGCGCCCGGCAACGAATGCACGGCTGGCGACAGATATACTGTACCCGCGGGTGGTCAGTCGGCAACCTTGTTGCTTTCCAGCAAGCAAACTGTTGCAAAAGCACTGATCCTGGTTGACAGGCCGGTCGCGATAGTGCCCTCCAATATTGACCCCTCGCTTTCGTGGAACGTGAAGCTTTCGATGGGCTCATTCCGAGGATCATACCCAGCGAAAGAGAGTGTTTACTTGAGTTGGCAAACTGCCATAGTGTTGAGCTCTGGCCTGTCGTCGAGGGCATTGCGCTGACAAATGCATTTGGTGTGGAACTAGGGGTCACGGAGCAGGAGTATGGTGGAATCTTCCCCCATGTTAGCTGTGCAAATCATTGGTAAGTTTCTCTCTGGTCCGATGGTTGACTGAAGATTAAACCCAGTTGCGGACTGAATACTGCTATAAAATGGGACCCTGCAACATTCTCAGTGTCGATGTACTCTCTCCGTGATGTCCAAGCCGGAGAGGAAATCCACAACCAGTATATTGATGTTCTCGCCCTCGCGCCAAACGACGGGCCCAGCTCGCCCAATACGACTTTGTTTGTCTTTGCCAACACTGCGATTTGCCCGATGATGAAGCCGTCGCGAAAAGCGATGCCGCCAGGGCTGAGCTGCGCGACTGGCGCAACACACACACACAAGATTCGAGCCTTGGGCAGAGGGATATGTGTCGTTCGGATGACGTCGTTATCGAGTCGAGTCTGCGGGCGCTGGAGCTCGTCAGACAAGAGGGCTTATGGGGAATGCAGGTTCCGTTTATGGAGGACCTCGCATTGAGCTACGCGGTCCTTGGTGATGAAGAGCGGTTCAGGGTGTGGGCGGAGAAGGTTGTAGAGCTATGCTGTGGTCAGGATCCGAAACGGGCACACAAGTTTGCACAGTGGCTCGCGGACCCCGTCGTATAGGAGATGGGGATGGCAGACGAAACAGAGGAAACGTAGGTCGTCTAACTCATCTCATTCATCCAGAAACTAATTTATGCAGTACTTGACAAACAGAAAAGTACGATGCTGAACCAACTTTTTTTTACCGCGGAAGCCCTGGTGAAATACGGCAAGATGGAGCGAGTGAATTGAGAATAAACGGCAGAGAGAGACTACTTGTCAGCTTGTCAGTGTCTGACGCCCCTTCTCTCGCTCTCTAAAACCCCACCAACGACGTGTTCCAAGTCGAATGTCCCTCAAGCCTTTGTCGTTGCTGCGAGGACGCCAAATTCAGCCTTTAAATTCTGAAATGTCCTAAGTGAGCGCAAGTGTTGGTGATAAAGCGAAAACTGACCTTATAACCCTCAACATTGTAGCAAATTTGAGGTGTCAGACGATGCCTTCACGCGCGAACGGCGTTCTCCATGTTCGCGAACACCATTGAACAGCCGCGTAAGTAATGGTGTCCTCGCTTCTTCTCATGGTTGTTGTGGTGGTGGAAGAGATGGCTGGCACTAGGTGGTGGAGAGTCCAAAGGCTATGTATACAAGCACTAGTATGAGCCTTGTATGCCATGTATTATGCTAGTTGTGGGTCAATGTGGAGTTGATTAAGTATACCAACTGATTGCCTTGATAGCTACTTGTATACCGGAAAAAAATCTCATCGGCCGGATCACAGATCCGAGTACCACATTTTCTGAAAATTTTCTGCGGCAGAAAATTAGAAATCTTCTGACTCAGAAAATTTCCAGAAGATTCTCAGAAGATTGATGGAAAATTCTAAATTTTCCGTGACAGAAAATCCTCGGAAAATCTTCAGAAGATTTTCAGAAAATTTCAAATTTTCTGTGCATTTTCTGGGGCAGAAAATACATTAATGTCCGTAGTGGAAATGCATTGCCTAGGATACTAGGTACAGCCAGAGGCTATGTGCACCTAGAACTTTAGCCCAGCAATTCTCCCTAGGCCAAAGCATTATTTTAATAGGAATATATATTTATTACTCTTTATCTGGTATTCTGTTACCTAAGCTAGTACACCTATTTATATAATGTTTTTAATGTGGAACCATTTTTGATTGCCATCAGTACTTTTGATGGCTATATCACAATACATCATTTTTGTCCAAATTAGAATTGTTATTGACACAGGCCTCCCCAACTATATACCGGATCATCGGCCTGAAGAAAAGGAGTTTAAAGTATTTGTAAGGGCAACCCTGGAGGCCTGAGGTCAAGGTCCTAGCAGGGGAGGATCCAAAGAGTGAATAACAGTAAGCAAATACAAAGGAAGCTGACCTAGCAGGGGAGGATCCAAAGAGAAGAAACTCTAAGGGTCCGCCTGCTAGGTAGCTGAACTATATACTGCGCTCTTGACGCGCCAAGGTTGATTGTTGCTCCGTGCAGTATGCCTGCGCCATGTCGCAGGCCAGGTCCCAGGGGGATCACCAGGCGGAGGCAGTGATGCGATTGATGGCGGTGATGTGATCACCGGAGTCGGAATCGGGGTGATTCCGGGCCGAAAGGGAGGTTCCCCTGACATCACCCCCCCCTCCTTTGAATGTGGCGCCCCGACGCATAGATCGGAAAGGGATTGTGTCGAAGGTCGCGGAGGCGATGTGCCGTGGTTTGCCGGGGTACCTACGATAGAACTCCGCGATTTTGTCTGGGGCGAAGACGCGGTCGAAGCGGACCCACTGGTCGTGCGACGCGTCGTAGTCTTTCCACCTGACGAAGTAGTTGAGCCGCCTATACCTGATCCTAGCGTCCAAGATTTCCTCTACTTCCCACTCCGGGACTCCGTCCTCAAGGTCCGGAGGGGGCTGGTCGTAGCCGGGGCGTCCATCGAAGGGGTCGTCTTGAGCGAGCTCGAGCTTCACGACGGGGAAGACCGGGTGGAGCTTCGAGTAGCGCGGAGGGAGGTCGAGCTTGTAGGCACCTCACCTGTGAATCCCACATAACCCTTCTAGTTAGGAAGGGAGGTACAGTGCACCTCCCATCCTAATTAGAAAGAAACTGCTCAAACTTCCTATGCTGTGATAAATACTGCAATAAAGTTGCTATAAAGTTCAGATCTAAGACCTTGGAGCGACAAGTCCACTCATAGCTGGTGTGTAAGATCATCAGGGCTTTCCAAAAAAAGGCAATTCTGCTCTCGAGACCAACACAAGTCCAATGAAGCATTGATATAACACTTTATATGGTATCAACGATGAATAATTACATACTCTGGAGACTTGTGCTTATTTCAGCGCCTGAGTCACGCTGTTACACAGGTCACATAGTGTAACAAATTTCCAAAAAAGGAAATTTTCGCCATTTGATAGTACAATTGTCAGAGAATGTCACAGATCGTCACAAAACCAAAGTTGTATATTTTGTCTATACAAACAATTTTCATTAAGTAACCTATAGTAACAGCTGAATGGTTATGCCCACACTAGCCAATTGACAACTAATAAAATAACACCTCAATAACTAGACAGGTTACATAGCTGATTGAAGTACTATGAAGTATACCTGAATGGTAAGATTGATATCCTTAATGATATAACATCATCAGTATATATATACCATGCAATGATTGTGCATCAGACTTATTGATTGAGCAATATCTCTCCCCATTCTTTCTAGATTCAGATGATTGTTTCACTGGTAGGTAGGTAATCATATTGTCTTGATATGATCTGATATGAAGATAGTGCTATACCTCTTACAATATACTGTTATAGCATATTTCTATAGTTTTCTGTTTCAAATTCGATTAAGCACAATGATGACTTGATATCTAGGTGAGGAATGCATGGATAATCATGATGTAAGTTGTGTTATAGACTAATGAATGTCCATTATGGCTCTAAGAAACCCATTTATTTTTAGACATCCTATATGTCTGTATATATGCCATGTATTCTATGGTGTCAATCTCCCAATAACTTACTTAGAGGTGAAGTACCCCTCATAGAGAAAAGGTAGGAAGTATACAGAGGGGTCCTCTGATGACATACTATCCCTAACACCATCTTATATATATGTAATATGTTGTTATTCTCCAATATCCCTCTGAATGGCATTCCACATCATATTAGCAATATAGCTATCATCTGGTACTTGATCATAGATCTGAATATCTAGAATTCAGTCACTGAGGAGTGTAGACCTTCCCACATATATTGATTGTTCTCTGAATGCCTATGGAGGATGAATTGGGATCGACATTCAGAGACAGGTTGGGGTCAGAACTAGTTTACATGAATAGTAGGTTCTCTAGACTGAGCTACTGGACATTCAGGTGGGTGTATAAGGATATTTGGATGTCCACTAGGACCCTGTACCATAATCAGTTGTGGTTCTGGCAGATGCCACTGAAGGTACCTGAAGAGAGGGTAGGTATAGAGCAAAAGAGAGAGTGCCTTCGCTATTACAACTGGTCAGAAAATAATTTCAAGTATGATCCAAAACTTGAATATAGGATGGTATAGACTTTCAAATGAGCCTGTCTAGCACTTGAATCAACCTCATAGCTAATCTGGATCTCTCACAGTACCATTATCAGTGTTATCTATCCCAAAGATGATGAGCTCACCATGGCATGACCTTTGTGAGTCTCAGGAATCTGAGTATATCTACTAGTAGGGATATGGTATACCTCCCAGAAAGTGGTGCCCCTGACCCTCTAGCCTATCTCCATCCTGTGTTACATAACACCTCAGGCCTGAAAGGATTGACTAGTCCTAACAGTTATGGTATGACCACAAATGGATGAGATTATAGTAGACTATTATATGTCATCATATCAACTTGGATCATAGGATTCCATGGATGTAGTCTCAAAATATCAGCAAAATGCTTGCTTGGCAGTCCATAGGTCAATGTGATGGTACCAGATGAGATGGATAGATGGATGGGATAATGGTAGGATGATATACCTTTTAAATGAGCACTCTCCCAGCTTTATCTACCCTGACTAGCTTGAGATCCATGGTTATCTTTCAGGGTTGATGGAGATCAAATACTACTAATGTGTGAATACATTGCATTGCTAGTATCATATTCACTCAGGATCTGAAACTAAAATGTCAGAGCCCTGGTTTGGAGTATCCGAACATATAAGTTACCTACCACACATTGGGTTAAGTACCAGATATTCCTTTGATTATGACTGAGAATTAAATATAGTCACCATATGGTATGATATTGATCAAATAACATGGTCAATTAATGGTCCTGTTCAAAGGCTTCCTGGTGGTACTTGAATCATGTATTTACCTCAAGTAATTATGGAGATAGAGGCTCATCAGTTGTAGATCAGTTAGTGATTGGCTAGTGCTGGCATAACCATTTAACTGGCACAATAGGTTACTTAATGAAAGTTGCTTGTATACAAAAAATATACAATTTTGGTTTGTGACGATCTGTGACATTCTCTGATGGTTGTACTATCCAATAACGAAAATTTCCTTTTTTGGAAATTTGTCACACTATCTGACCGGTGTAACAGCGTGACTCAGGCGCTGAAATAAGCACAAGTCTCCAGAGTGTGTAATTATTCATCGTTGATAATATATAAAGCGTTATATTAATGCTTTATTGGTCTGGAGAGCAGAATTGCCTTTTTTGGAAGGTCCTAATGATCTTAAACATCAGCCATGAGTGGACTTGTCGCTCCAAGGTCTTAGATCTGAACTTTATAGCAGCTTTATTGCAGTATTTATCACAGCATAGGAAGTTTGAGCAGTTTCTTTCTAATTAGGATGGAAGGTGCACTGTACCTCCCTTCCTAACTAGAAGGGTTATGTGGGATTCACAGGTGAGGCACCTTTGCTGATCTCCGCGACTATCTTGAATGGTCCCAGACGGTGGTGGGAGAACTTCTCCGAGGGGCGAGTCGTCCTGATGTCAGAAACATCCAGCCAAACACGGTCACCAACCTTAAACTCCGGAGACGGAGTGCGTCTCCGGTCGTAGTAGCGTTTGTACT